AGCCATTGACTCAGAGGCCACTTCAGGTCAGGCGACCCGGGACTGCATGTGGACAGCGATAAGTAAGAGCCACAGGGAAGACCTGCGCAGAAGCTGTGGCTCCCGGAGACTCCAGGGCTCAACGTGGGATGCATCTGCCCTGGTTCTGACTTCATGTGTCAGGGCTGGGCCCGGGCCTCTGCATTTGTTGGAGTCCCCCTGGCGGGCGAGGTTGTCTCTAAGCAGTCCAGGTGCCACCACCAGGGGATGCTTGGAAACTGGCCGGTTCCCTATGTGGACGGTTTGTGTCCCCCCAAGATTCCTGATTCAAGGCTGACCTCCAGGGCAATGGTGCTTGGAGATGAGGCCTGTGGGAGATAACGGGTTAGACAAGGCCCCGTGATAGGGTTAGCCACACTACAAGAGGAGGTCGAGGGACTGGAGAGCCCACTCTGTCTCTGCCATGTGAGTACACAGGGAGAAGGGGCCGTCTGTGATTCATGTGGCAATCCTCCACAGACACTAGACCCACCAGCACCTCGACCTCAGCTTCAGTCTCCAGAGCCGCGAGAAGTGAATGTCTGTTGTTTGAGTCACCCTGTCTCCGGGGTTTGGTTACGGCTGCCCGAGCTGAGACAGTTCCCAAGGGACTCACAGCCTCTGTCTGCCTCACACTCCTGTTTCAAACACTTTGCACTGAGAGGCCTGTTCTTGTTTTTAGTGCTAACCTTGCACAGACCACGAAGAGAAACATCAAAGGCCAAGGATCCCAGGTCATGCCTGCAAGCCTCTCAGAGAAAATTAGTTATAAATTTTCTATAGACATCATGGTCAAAAATAAGGCAGAGTTTTTTTTTTTTTATCTTCCCTATATGTTTTTTTAAAAAAACTGGGCTGGGCTCGGTGACTCAGTCTGTAATCCCAGCACTTTGGGAAGCTGAGGCAAGTGAACTGCCTGAGCCCGCTGGTTCAAGACCAGCCTGGGCAACTTGGTGAGATCGCGTCTCTACAGTAAATCAAAAATTAGCTGTGCATGGTAGCATGCTCCTGTAGTTCCAGCTCCTTGGAAGGCTAAGGCAGAAGGATCATCTGAAGCCCAGCAGGTTGAGGCTGGAGTGGCCATGAGTGTGCCACAGCACTCCAGCCTGGGCAACAGAGTAAGACTCCAACTCAAAAAAAAAAAAAAAAAAAGATTTTTAGGAGAATCGCTCTGTTAGGCCAGTGTCAACATTCAGGTATTTGTCTGAGTCACTTTTGGCCAACATCTAAATATTTACTGAACACCTCCCAACATCAAGCTGTGTCAGCCCAGGGCTTCTTGGCCCCCGGTGTGCCCATGAGCCACCCCAAGACCTCATAAGGATGATGATTCTGATTCAGCAGGTGGTCTGGATGGGCCCAAGGCTCTGCATTCCTAACCGGCTCCCAGGTGATGCCCCCTATGGGGAGCAGCCTCCAGCCCAGTGGGTACACATAAAAGGTAGCAATTCCTGGGTCCCCAACCAATCAGATCACTCCAGGGGAGGGGCCTGGGCACCTGAAAAACACCCTTGAAGTGCTCAGGTCACCGACCATGGGCCAAGATTCAGAGCTACTCTCCCAGCCTAGGACAGCTGGGGCCCCCAAGGAAACGAGTTATTTTAGATAGAGGACAATGTGGAAGGGGGACAGAACAGGAGAGGACAGAGCCCTCATGCTGAAACACAACGATGAGATCAAAGTACCACAGTCTCAGGAAAACCAGGCAGCCGAGGCATGTCCACACTGTCTTCAGGGAAGACCTGCAGGGCCATTGATGTGTCTAGGAAATGGACCCCTCTCACCTGCAGGGCACATCCGAGGCTGGAAGTAGAGACCCAGCCTGTTCCAAGGCTCTTATGGAGTCAATGGTGAACTAGCATTTGCTGAACGCCCACCTCCTGCCCCGGAGGAAACTCCTAAAGCCCCAACTTTTGATGCCCCCAAGAACCCATGGGCAGAGCTGCCTCCAGCCATGGAGACAGACACAGAGCAGAGGCCCTGGGAGGAAACAAGACCCCACAACTATTCCTGGGGATTCCACTCACCATGCAGGCAGGAGGCAGCTGTCAAGCAATGTCATGTCAACCCTGAGACTCACTGGAGCTTTGGGTCAGCCTTTCCCCAGAGTCCTGACGTTGGGAGAGCAGGCTCAGCCCCCTCCCCCCGGAGGTGAGCCTGTGACCTGGGGCCTGGCACACCCTAGGCCCAAGCATCAGCTCAGGGGGCCATGTGGCCCGCAGCAAGCCAGAGCTTCCTAGCTCCCTCAGAGGCTGCAGGCCTTAGATGCACTCTTCTCTGTCTGGAGTCTGGGAGGACATAGGTTGGGCCCATGGTCACCACCTTCCCACGCTGGAACACACAGAGCCCAGAGACAGAGAACTGGAGCCACGGACACCTCGTGACCTCTGACCCCACACTCCCAGTCCCCATCTTTACCAGCCCCACTTAGGGGGACTTCCTGCCATGGCAGCAGAGGCCATGGACTGCCCAGGGCCACATCCGGCCAGCCATCCGCCCCCAAGTGCCCAAGCACCTCCTGTGGCCCATGGGGGGCATCGCAGCCCCACACCATCGCCCAGTCCTTCCTCAGGTGGAGACCTGTGTCTGCCACTCAGTCACAAGCTGCATGGTGACAAGACTGTGTCCTATACTCCTCACTGCCACCAGGCATCCACAGAAAGGCTGGACACACTCCAGCAGGCACCTGCCATGGACCTGTGAGACATAAAGGCTGGCAGTGAGGAGGGCCAGGATGAGAAGACCAGAGGGAAGCTGGGCCTTGATTCCTCTTGGCCTGAATGGAGGGCCTCGGCTGCACAGAGGTGGAATTGGGGGTGCGGGAAAGTACAGGGAGGTGCAGTGTCTGCAGCCAAAGGCCCAGGATTGCTCCCACCAGCCCAGAAAAGTGGAGCCCCTGAACTTTGAGCTTTGTGCTTCTAATCTTGGCAAAAACACAGTCAGGCTTAAAATGTGCAATACACCAAAACGCACTTTCATGCCATCGCCCGAACAGCATCTGCCGAGGCCTTCCCGCACGCTGGGCTCTGTACCAGAAATAGCTGGCGCAAAGCGCAAAGCAAGCATGAACAGTTACTTGAGTGCTTTTGGTTTCCCCCATGTCCCTCCTGTTAAGCAGGACAGATACTGCACAAGTTAGTGGAATGTGTCCTGCTTGGTCAGGATACTGAGAAGACAGGGCCACAGTGGGCCACAGGAGAATCTGTCATGAGAAGTGAGCCCTGCTCAAATTACAGTAGGGCACAGTCAGCCCAAGACGAGGGTGTGCACAAGCCAGATGCCAGGCAGAACTTCCCAGCCCTGACTGCACCAGAGAAGCACAGTGCTCCCCACACGGAAGGGGCCAATGCCAATGTGTCCAGTCCCTGGGAAGGGTGGGATAGTCCCCAGGTTAGCATCCTTGGTGCCATACATTGGCCAGCATGGAGCCATTGGCCCTGGGCACCCATCAGCTGGCCACACATCACCAGCCTGACCACTCAGGGCAAGTGTGGGGAGAGAACAGCAAGAGGCGGCTGGCCACTGCTGGGTCACCAGGATGAGTGATTGCTTGGGACGGTCGGCCAGGCTCACAGGAAGCCGAGCCCTCCCCAGCAAACCCGTGTCCCAGCGAGCTCACCAGAGGGCATCTGAGGAAAGGGCAGTGATGATGCAGACAACAGTGTGATGGCTGTGGAGGAGGCCACGCCTTGAGCACAAGGAGCCAATGGGCATCATAGCTGCACGGGCCGCGGCCCAGAGCCAGCCCTACCATGCATGAGTCTCGTGACTCTGAGCAACTCGGTTCTCCTCTCGAGATCTTTCCTATCCTATAAAATGGGAAGAGAGCCAGGCTCGGTGGCTCAGCCTGTAATCCCACGCCTTTGGGAGGCTGAGGTGAGTGGATTGCCTGAGCCCATGGGTTCGAGACCCGCCTGGGCAGCGAGACCTCATCTCTACAATAAATCAAAAAATCAGCTGGGTGTGGTAGCGCATGCCTGTAATTCCGGCTACT